ATGGTATTATTTTTAACTATAAAAATAGTGTTCATTGCAAATTATTCAATGCTTCTTAACAAAGTGCTTGTTTTCTGTGAATAAATGCATATATATTTTTTCATTTTCAATTCTTTCTATATACAGAATATCAGTTTAGTATATATTAAGAAAAGATTTCAGTGGTTTGCACCCACAAAGAAACACAAAGTGAAAAATACTGTTTGAGTACTAGATATAGCATTAAATCACAATGTACAGCACATTAAGGAAAGAGATCCTACATGAGGAGTAAGTGCACAGTGATTCCTGTTGTTGACTTAACAAATTGACACTCTTGTATATGGCATCAATAATCACCCTAGGCTCTTGTCATGAGCTGCCAAGGCTATGGAAGCCCCCTGAGTTCACCGACTCTGATCATATTTAGACAAGGTCATAGTCAAAGTGGAAGTTCTCGCCTCCCTTCAGAGAAAGGTTCCTCCTTCCTTGATGACCTGTTCTATCCACTGGGATCTCACTCGCAGAGATCTTTCATTTAGGTCATTTTTTTTTTTATTTTGACAGAGTGGGCTTTTCAGCCAGATCTGAATGCCATAAGGGCTGATTCTGAGGCCAGAGTGCTGTTTAGGACATCTGCCATTCTATGGGTCTGTTGTGTATTTCGCTTCCCATGTTGAATCGTTTTCTCCCTTTTTTTTTTTATTCTAGGGTTAGTATTTTCAGACACTATTCTTGTTTATGTGATCCCTTTGACTCTTAGTCCTATCATTATGATCAATTGTGAACTGAAATTGATCACTTGGACTAGTGAGATGGCATTGGTACATGCCACCTTGATGGGATTAAATTAGAATCCCCTGGTATGTTTCTAACTCTACCATCTGGGGCAAGTCCGATTGAGCATGTCCCAAATTGCACATCTCTTCCCTCTCTTATTCCTACTCTTTTATTTAACAGGGATCATTTTTTCAGTTAAGTATCAACAGAATTCAACAAATAGTATTAAGCAGAACAAACAAACAAAAATACTAGGAGGGATAAAGTATTAAGTTGTTCATCAACAGTCAGGGCAAGGGCTGATCAAGTCACTGTTTCTCATAGTGTCCATTTCACTTCAACAGGTTTCCTTTTTGGTGCATATTTGTCACCAATCAGGGAGAACATATGATATTTGTCCCTTTGGGACTGGCTTAATTCACTCAGCATGATGTTTTCCAGATTCTTCCATCTTGTTGCAAATGACCGGGTTTCATTGTTTTTGACTGCTGTATAGTATTCTGTAGAGTACATATCCCATAATTTCTTTATCCAGTCTACTGTTGATGGGCATTTGGGTTGGTTCCAGGTCTTAGCTATTGTGAATTGAGCTGCAATGAACATTAAGGTGCAGACAGCTTTTTTGTTTGCCAATTTAATTTCCTTTGGGTAAATTCCAAGGAGTGGGATGGCTGGGTTGAATGGTAGGGTTATCTTCAGGTTTCTGAGCAATCTCCAGACTGACTTCCATAGTGGCTTTACCTGTTTACATTCCCACCAACTGTAGATTAGTGTCCCTTTTTCCCCACATCCTCTCCAGCATCTATTGTTGGTAGATTTCTGAATGTGAGCCATTCTCACTGGGGTGAGGTGGAACCTCATTGTGGTTTTGATTTGCATTTCCCTGATTGCTAGTGAACTTGAACATTTTTTCATGTGCCTGTTGGCCATTTGGATTTCCTCTTTTGAAAAATGTCTATTGAGGTCCTTGGCCCATCTCTTAAGTAGGTTGTTAGTTTTGTTTTTGTGGAGTTTCTTGATTTCTTTGTAGATTCTGGTTGTTAATCCTTTATCTGTTGCGTAGTTTGCAAATATTTTTTCCCATTCTGTCGGTTGCCTCTTCATTCGTCTGACTGTTTCTTTTGCAGTACAGAAACTTCTCAGTTTGATGCAATCCCAATAGTTGATTTTGGCTTTGACTGCCTGCGCCTCTAGGGTCTTTTCTAGGAAGTCTTTGCCTGTGCCAATATCTTGCAGGGTTTCTTCTATGTTCTCTAATAATTTGATGGTGTCAGGTCGTAGATTTAGGTCCTTAATCCATGTTGAGTGGGTTTTTGTGTAAGGTGTAAGGTAGGTGTCTTGCTTCATGCTTCTGCACATGGAGATCCAGTTTTCCCAGCACAATTTATTGAATAGACTGTTCTTGCTCCAGGAATTGGTTTTAGATCCTTGGTCAAATATAAGTTGGCTGCAGATGTTTGGGTTGATTTCTGGTGTTTCTATTCTGTTTCATTGGTCTATATATTTTATATAAATTAAGCTTGCATCCAAAATTTGTTTTTTTTATTAGAAGTGAATTTATCATCCAAGTCATTCATCTTCTATAAAATGGATTTTCTCTCTTTGTTTCTCTCTTTAATAAAGTTAAACAAACAAAAGATTGTACCCAATTTCTTTGTGTTATTTTTATTATGGAAGCTTATTGTCAGTAGCAAGCATCTAACTCAGTGAAATGGATAAAACATTTAGAATATTATATTTTAAAGCTGGCATTTTTAGTCTAAGAAAAGCCAATACTGATATACATAAGTATGTTTTATACAAATGTAAATTTCACTTTAAAGATAATCTCATATAAATTATATGTATACAATTTGAGAAAGACCAGATTAATACATATACAGAATGTCTAACAAAATGTTAAATTTCATGAAGTATTTCAATTTCTCCCTCCTATGACCAAAAATCCACTTGCTTAGCATTTATTAATATCTATCATAATTGCTTCTCGGCCTTTTGGCTTAGATCAAGTGTAATATCTACCACATATCAGGTACAGTCCCAGGAAGTAGACATTTAAAAATTAATATTGTTATGAACATGTGTTTGGTTAAGTCACAACTTGGGATGAGTGTTCTAGAAGCCATATCAGAGTGCTTGGTTCAAATTCTGGCTCTTCTTCAGATAGACCTGCTCACTAATGTGCATCCTGGGATCCAGCAGATGATGGCTTATGTACTTGAATCATTTCTACCCAAGTGGTAGACTCAGATGGAGTTCCTGGCTCCTGGCTTCAGCCCTGGCTGTCAAGGGTATTTCAGGAGTGAATCAGTAGATAGAAGACCTCTCTCCCTCTCATCCTCTCTCCCTCTCTTTTCTCTCTTACATTTAAATAAATCAAGAACAAATAAAGATTAAAAATATTTTCAAAATAAATTGCCATTAGGTAATGTGGTCAGAAATAAATAGTATTTCAACTATGGTGGAAGAAGTTATTGGCCGAAGCAAAATATGACACTTTAATAAGAGCGGAAGATTTTAATCTGGGCCATGAAGAAAGGAAAGGAGTTGGCTGGATGCAATAGAGAAAAAAATCTAGAAAGAGTGGAGAATATGAAATAAACACAGTGATAAATTGTGGATCATGGCCAAGGAACCAGGAAAAACAGAAACAAGAAAATACTCTCAGAAACACAAAGTGCTGATAAGTTAGCCAGAGTCTAGGAGAAGAAAAATTGACTTGTTAAATAATATTTTAAATAATACAGTAGATATATAAAAGACAACAGTTTATCCTTTATCTAAAATACCTGAAATTAGAAGTATTTTGGATTTGGGGTTGTTTCAGATTTTGGAATATTTGCATATATATAATGAGATATTTTAGCAATGGAACACAAAGTCTAAATACAAAATTCATTTATGTCTCATGAACACCCATACATATAGTCTAAATGCAGTTTTATCCACTATTTTTGTTAGAACTGTGGCCTATTATGCAATCATACATAGAATTTTCCATTTGAAGAATCATGTTGGTACTAGAAACGTGATATTTTGGGAAACCTCAGATTTTGGATTTTTGCATTAGTGATGCTGAATCTGTATCATCCATATGTCTGAGTCTGCAGTTTTTCAGTTCACATTGGAAAACAGGAATTTATATTAATTACTACTAAAATACTACTAAAATAAATTACTACTAAAATATCTCTTGATATTAACAATCAAAAAGCCAGATATGCATGTGTTTTGTGAGAGATGCAGCAACCCACAAGAAATGTCAAGATATTATTCATTAAAACAGGTGACACTGAGTTTTGCTGTTGTAGTTATTATTCACTTCAGGATTCTAATGGTGAGATGTGTTTCAAGTGTCCATCTCTATCCCCAACACAATCCACAGGATCACTGTTGTATTACTAAAGAGAATAATCAGCCATCAGACAGAAGGGAAATGCTTATATGACATTATAAAAAGCCCCAGTTCCTGTTCCACTCTCCATATGCCTTACAATTTTCTCTTAGTAGAATCAGTATCCATAGGCACTTTAATTTTATGAAGTTGTTATAAGATTCTAGGCCCCCTTGTTTTAGTAGATTACAAGGAATGCATTTTCCACTTTAGCTAGATGACATCTTAGTGTCAGAAGATCTCAGATATGAAAGGGAGATTAGCTCCAGTGAACCCTGAACCCTGCCTCCCAGGATGGCTTCAGTCTGCGAAGAGCAATTCGAAATGATGGGCTATTTCTGGGAGCCACCAGGTGAGACAGCCAAAATGGAATCTCACCTGTCTTTTAGTTTTTTGCTGCGAATATATTCCCCGTGAGACAACTATTTAAACAACTGTTTAAATCACATGGGTTTCTTTTAAACTGCCTTTTGGAACTATGTGGTCCTTCCCCTTACCCACATCACACTTTTGGATAAAGGTTAAAGAGCGCCAATTAATGTGAAGTATTGTGCTCTGTTTATTATATTAAATGGTTTTGTAATCAAGATTGTTTTTCAAAGGTTAAACTAATATAATGACCTTAATTCTCTCCACCTGCAAGCCTCAGGCCAGCTATTCTTGTAGATGAGTTACTTATCCACAGGAAACAAATGCAAGTGCTGGCCTAAAGCAGGGCTTTGCCTCACTTTCTCTGTTAAAGGTGATTCCTTGTCTCCTCCCGCTGCTTTGCCTCATTCTTTCCTTCCTAGCAGACCAGGTTTCTGTTTTCCTGATTACTTGACAAAACAGTTTTTTCTACTTGCAGGATTTCCAACAGTTCCTATGAGGTTGCCTGATTAGCTGCTGCCTCACTGAACCTTCCTCTGTGTACGTTGCTGCCAGTTTTTCTACCTAAGTCCGATCCATTTCCTGGATTGATCTTGATACTTCATCCATGAAAATACGTTTTCTTTCTGGTACGTGCTTCTGACCTCTTCCCACCAATGTTTGTGAATGCAATGAAACTAGGTTCTAAAGCAGGCTGTTTGATCTCATTAAATGGAACAATATATAAGAACTAACTTAAATGCTCATAATTAACATCTTTTAAGGGAAAGGGAATGGAATAAGTCACTCTGGAAAAGGATAGCGAAATAGAAATATTGTTCTTACTCAGTGAACTCATTGCATCATTTGGCTAGCTGTGCTGTGTTCTCACGCGTCTTGTTAAGCTTGCTTTCCCAAGCTGCCTGTTCTCTTTCCTTTGCAGTGTGCGGCTCCCTAAGGGCTCTAGTGACACATTTGCCACCTCTGTGGAAAGGCAATAATTAGGTAATTCCCAACTCCCTTTCATTAGAAACTCATCTGTTATTCTGTCTTGAGCTTTCCTGCCTCTGAAGAAACGCCTTCAAATCTCTTTACTATGTGTGCAGTGGCCCCTTTAACTGATCTCTACACGACTGGTTCCAACTGAACTACAAACATTAAGGAAAAATTGGTGTCAATGCAGCAAGGAGAATAACTCTTCTCCCAATCAGCAAAGACCCATGTGGATATTACATTCCTGCCAGGATCTGCTTGTATTCCCTGTAAAGCAAGGCGGTTTATATTCCCTACGAACTGATTTCACGATGATGTGTATTCATTCAAAAATGGACAAATATATGTGTTTTCTCTTTTCTCAACTTCAATGAAATTTTTAATTCAATACAATAGGACCTTTAAGCACTTCTATACTTGTGGTTTATTCAGGTTAATCACCTTTTTGATTCATATTAATTAACTGATATGATTAAGGGTTGGAAATAGACAAAATTTGCACCATATACATTCACTTGGAAAAAAATGTCCAGCAATGTTAAAGATTTAGTTCCAGATAAACAGTAGGAAAATATCCTTTTTTAAAGATACCAGGGGCCAGAGCTGTGGCACAGCAGGTAAAGCCTCTGCCTGCAATGAGGCATCCCATATGGGCGCCAGTTCGAGTTCTGGCTGCTCCACCTCTGATACAGCTCCCTGCTATAGCCTGGGGAAGCAGTAGAAGATGGTCCAAGTCCTTGGACCCCTGTACCTGAGTGGGAGACCCGGAAGAGGCTCCTGGCTTCCAATCAGTGCAGTTCCAGCCCTTGAGGCCAATTGGGGAGTGAACCAGCGGATGGAAGACCTCCCTCTCTCTCTGCCTCTCCTTCTCTCTCTGCATAACTGACTTTCAAATAAATAAATAAATCTTAAAAAAAAACACACACACAGAAAACACCGAAAGGGGCTGGTATGGTGGTGCTGTGGGTTAAGTTACCACTGTAAAACTGGCTTCCCGTATGAGTGCAGGGTTTAAGTCCTGGCTGATCCACTTCCAATCCAGCTTTCTGCTAATGCTCCTGGGAAAGCAGCAGAGGACAGCCCAAGTGCTTGAGCCCCTGCCACCCAGGTGAGAGACCTAGATGAATTTGCAGGTTCCTGACTTCGACCTGGCCCAGTCACAGCCATTGCAGCTACTTGGAGAGTGAACAGTTGGAACAAAGATTTCTCTCTCTCTCTCTCTCTCTCTCCCTTTGTCTTCTTGTCTCTATAACTCTGTCTTTCAAATAAATAAATACTTTTTTTGAGTCCTGATCTCTAGCAGAAAGTCTTTGAAACCACTCCATGCTAGGTAAGCACCTCAGCTTCTGGCTTTGGAGGCAGATCAGCTCACCCATTGTGTCTAAGAATATGATACCAGGCTGGCACTGTGGTCTAGGCGGTAAAGCCACTACTTACAATTCCATCATCCAATATGGGTGTTGGTTCATTTCTCATCTGCACCACTTCTGATCCAACTCCCTGCTAATGACATGGGAAAAGTAGTGGAGGATGGCCCAAGTGCTTGGGCCCCTGCCATCCATGTGGTAGACACACATGAAGCTCCTGGCTTCTACCTGGCACAGCACTGGGCCATTGCAGAAATCTGGGAAGTGAACCAGCAGATGGAAGATCTTTTTCTCTTCCTGTCTCTCCTCTCTTCTCTGTAACTCTTTCAAATAACAAATAAATTTAGGGGAAAAAATGTAACATTGGATATGCATGTTGGCACTTTTGTGAACTTTGAAAAAAAAATAATAAAACACTTCTCTGTGCCTCACCTCAGAATGTGGTTTTTGGGGAAACAGAAGAAGTATAACACTAAAAAGGCCTACCATGCACTAAATTTTTGATGAATATTACTTTAAAATTACAGGTGCTAATGAAAGTCAGGTGTGTATATATATATATCTCATCATAAAACAGGAATTCTTGGTCTTCTTTAATTGTTGTCATCAAATTTTCACCTCTCCAGGTGATCTGTAGAAGGAGACAGTCTCCAAATATTTTTCCTCATGTTCTAGGTTGAATTGTGCTCCCCCTCCAAATGTATAAGCTGAAGTCCTAATTCCCTTAGATTTAGTCTCAGATTGTGACTTAATTTGGAAATGGGGTCTATTCAGAGGGCATCAAGTCAAAATGAGGTCCTGTGCTGGTGTCGTGGCATGGCAGATTCAGCCACCACCCGTGATGCTGGCATCCCATATGAATGCCACTTAGAGTCCTGGCAGCTTCACTTCCTTATCCAGCTAATGAGACTGGGAAAGCAGCAGAAGGTGACCCAAGTACGTGGGCCCATGCATCCATGTTGAAGAAGCTCCCGACTCTTTGGCTTGGCACAACTCCAGCTATTTCAACCATTTAGGGAGTGAACCAGCAGATGGAAGACCCCTCTCTGTCTGTCTCTCTGTCTCTCTCTCTGCCTGTCTCTCTCTAACTATGCCTTTCAAATAAATAAATATTCAAAAAATAATGAGGTCTGAATCAGAAATGACTGGTGGCATTATAAAAAAGAGTTTTACAAACACACACACACACACACACACACACACACACACGGAAGACTCCACATGAACGCCAAGGCAGAGATGAGGACAATGCTGCCACTAGTGGAGGGAATTCAAAGCTGCCAGCAAGCCTCAGCAGGCTCAGAGGAGGACAGCATGCTCCTTTAAGGGAGCAGACCTACCAAGTCTCTGGACTTTCAGCATTTGGAACTGAGAGACAATAAATTTTTGTTGTTTAAGCCACTGGTTTGTGGCACTTTTGTACAGCTTCCCTACCAAACCAATTCATCTTATTTTCCCATTTATTTTAGTGTTTTCTAGGCTCTGCTCCAGCTTCCCAGAGACATTAGCTGCCCAGTTATATGTTTTCTATGTTGGGGGAAAGGGAACAAACCTGGGATTGCAAAATGGAGAATTCACTCTGTGTTGTTTGCAAGTTTTCCTCAAATAACATAGTGTGTTATGGACCACAGGCAGGAGCAAGTTAAATGCATGGATTAAATCTGAGATCAATAATGCTGAAAGTTCACTCTATGCCAGATGATTTCCAGGACCCTTAATGCTGTCTTATTTTATAGTCATTAAAATTAATATCTCTGGTTTAAGTTTATTTTTCTAATGACACAATAAGCTATAACAATCTCTAGACTGCCTACTTCATATGTAGTAATTTTATAATTAAACTGAAAATGGGGCTTAGAGCATGAAAAGCATGACAAAATCCCTGTGTTTGGAAGGGAAAGAATATGAGGCTCACTGCTTGGCTATGTGAAAAGAAAGGGGAAGCAAGTAGTATCAGCAAAAGAATTTAAAATGACATTGTCAACTATAGAAGTTGTAGGCATATATAACCTTGCAATATAAAAGCAAAGTAAGGCCACTAAAATTTGCAATACATTTTTCCAAGATGACTAATGATAAGTTGGTTTGATTTTCTTTTTTTTTTTTTTAGTTTTTGTTTGTGTTTTTGTATTTAATGACTTCGATTGTCAACCCCCAACACACACCTTCCCCCTTTGGGCTCCGAAAACCATAATTGCTAATTGGGTACATGGAGAAAGAATCAATTTAAACTAACTGGGTCATAAACCACATACAGGTTTCTAAACCAAGGGAACAACAGTTTAAAATTGCCCTCCAAGGAGATGACTAAATCACAGGTACATTAAAGTTGTGCAAATGGTTTCAAGAAACATTCAGATTTAGTGCAGTTATTACCATACCAAGTATTCATTTACAGCTCTTATGCTGATCCACCCACTGATGTCTGCTAATGATAGAGAAGAGACAATGAGCATTAATGGCTTGATCCTAAGGGTCAATTTGTCTCAATTAAAAGTATTATTTGCCTAAAGCATGCTTTTATTTCAAGAATGTGCTTGGGCTGTGGAGGTATAGGTGGACTTGTTTTCATTACAGCCATTAAAGGTATTCAAATTCCAGGCCTCCAGAGTCTTTGAATTAGACAAACTTTCACAATTTTAGCACCAGACATTCTCAGAAGTTTGGCAAAGTCTTCTAAACTATAACTTTTTTCTTGAGCACTGTTTCTCAACATGTTGTTGTCCATCAGATTTCCTGAAAAAGTTCCCAAAAGCTCCATGTCTAGGACTTGCCACAGGTCAGTTACAGAATTTTGAGAGGCATGATATTGGAGTCATGAGCCAAGACATCAGTCTGGGCTGCGATGCTCTGGAGCCTTGGGATCTGAGCCTGGCTCACAGGCCAGTAGTGTTGTAGCATTTTATGACCTGAGAACACAGCAGAACTACAAACTCTCAGGTCCCATTTCAGACATATTAAATTAGTATCTGCTCTTTGGCAAGGTCCCCAGGCAACTGACAAGCACATTAAAGGGGCAGAAGCACAGATCTATACTAGACGATCGTTAAAAAAATGCATATTTTTCATTTACTTGAGAGGTGGTGTGTGTGTGTGTGTGTGTGTGAGAGAGAGAGAGAGAGAGAGAGAGACAGAGAGAGAGAGAGAGAAACTGACTCTGATTCACTCCTCAAGTGGTCAAAACAACCAGGGCTGGGCCAGGCTGAAACCAGGAGGCTGAAACTCCACCTGGGTCTCCCACGTGGGTTGACAGGAACCCAAGAACTTGAGTCATCATCTATTGCTGCCCAGGATGCATTGTCGGGAAGTTGGAGGTTAAGCAGAGGAGCTGGGACAGGAAATGGCACTCCACCATGTGATGCAAGCACCCAGGTAGCAAGTTAATACACTGTGCCACAATGCCCACTTATAAACATGCAAGCACTAAAGTATTATTTTTTTTTCTTCTGATGGTCTTAAACAGTTCATGATCGTGCACTAATAATCATAGTTATTCTAACAAAATAAATGCACAGTATATAATACCAACATTTTATATTTTGTATGATAATTAATATTTAATTGATCATAAAATCACTTAAATTGATAGAGTTGGAACATGTGTAATAAAAATTGCTATTTCCATTGTAAATATTCTCATAAATGAGGGACCATAAAATATTTTAAATATGTTAACATATAATTTTAATATAATAAGACTCTTAATTAAAATTGAGCTTGCTCTTTGAAATTATAATTTCCAAAGATTTATTTAAGGCATTTCCCAGTTACAAAATATAATCACATATTTGGATCTCAAAATCTTCATTTTCTATTCTTGTTAGCTCTCTGAGATATAATGCCTTAGATGAAATTGAGCTTTATGTACCCCAAATAGTCACATTTCCTTAGTGTATTCATTACTATTAAAATGGAATTATACTTTTTTAATAGATAAGAACCAAAATGAATATTTTCTATAAAGAGTAAATTTTAAAGAAAAATATGTTTTCACTATTTTGGTATTTCTGATTTCTTAGTTTTTTTCCCCTTTTCATTTTTATGTTTTTTTGAGAGTGTATAGTTTTAAAATATATTTTGGTCAAAAGCTTATTGGCTCCCTCTCTCCTCCTCCCTCTCTGTTGAACTGCATTTCAACTAAACAAAATAAATATTCAAAAACAATAAATAACTGCAGAATATTTTCAATAAATTTGCTTCTAAAAATTCTTTCGAGTCCTTATGCATGTTAATCCAATCCTTCACTGATTTAAGGACAGTTAAGAAACTAGAGGTACCTCACATATGTCCAGTTATTGAAAAACAAGTTCTTGGCCGGTGCCGCGGCTCACTTGGCTAATCCTCTGCCTGCAGCTACAGCACCCTGGGTTCTAGTCCCGGTTGGGGCATCGTGTACTAGCCCTTTTTGCTCACCCGCATGGGAGACCAGGAGGAAGCACTGGGCTCTTGGCTTCGGACCAGCACAGCGCCGGCAGTAGCGGCCATTAGGGGAGAGAATCAATTGAAGGAAGACCTTTCTCTCTGTCCCTCTCTCACTGTATATAATTCTACCTGTCAAATAAAAAAAATGTAAAAAAAAAAAAAGAAAAACAAGTTCTTTTCAAACAAGTAGGCTATGAAGAGCTGGGTGAACCAAGTAATCAAGTTGTCTCCTTGTCATAGATTTTTCTTCCTCTCTCTCTCTTTCTCTCTCTCTCTCTCATTGCTTATAGATATTGTTTGATGAGATATTTAACCTGAAATAATTTTCAATATATTTTTGTTGCCAATTAAGGGGCCTTAATTTTATTAAATTTGTGAGTGTAAAAATGTGAATCTATTTCTTTCTCTTCCCTTGTTTAAAAATGTAAGATATGCTTTCCAAACTTTTGATGTTGCATTTATCTGACCCACATCAGATAATCAGCTGAGCTCAATGTAGGCAACTTTAGAAGAAAATACAGATGATTGTCCCTAAACAACTTAAATTCTGAATAATTTGAGTAGGATCTGGGTATCTTATCTGCAAGCCTTAAAATCATACTTCTGGCAATTCTAATAATCACCTGGTGATGTATATTTAGTGGCCATGTTATCAATTATATTTATTCATTTTGAAATCTTATTTTCCTATTACATACATATAATACCATACAATAATTATATATAGAATTACCTATGAATTTACTCATTAAAAATCTTTGGTATCTCTGGTTCAGCCACCAAAAAATACTTGGAGAACAAATATAGAAAATTATACCTGGGTAAGAAAAGACTATAATTTTATACACTAGGGAATTATTTGACATGATAAACTAAAATCTATTTTAATCAATGTTCTTAAATAATTTGTATTTTTCTACCATAACTTATAAAGACACAGATACATTTTTCTGCAAAAATTTGTTGTCCTCTATTTTGATATTATGATCTAAATTTTATTGTGTGATGACAAGAAAAAATCAGAATTATATATACATTTATATGAATAATAATGTCTGGGGATATTTAAAAAGCCATTGAAAACACTTAATGGGCAGCTCAATATTTGAGATCAAAGCAGCTTCTGTGTTACTACCTCAGTTAAAATTGGTATTAATCAGCAGGCAATACTTTTTCATATAAACTCAGTAGATGTAGAACTAATACTTCCTTATGCATCAATGATACCAAAGAAAAGACAGAGAATAAATACCTTGATTTTCAGAAAAATGTCTGCTGTTCTTACTACCTTCTGATTTTGTTTTCATTTGACACAGTAACAGAGAAAGAGAGACAACCAACTGGACAAGAGAGCTCACTCTGATGATCTACTTCCCAAATGCCCACAACAGCTGGGATTGAGCCTGGGTGAAGCCAGGAGTTTGGAATACAATCAAGGTTTTCAATTTGGATGGTAGGAACTCAGCTACTTGAGACATCACCACTGCTTCCCAGGCCATATTAGCATTAATGTAGGAAGCAGGAGCAGAGTCAAGACTTCAGGCACTCTGAAAAGGATGCAGGCATCTTAACAGTTCTGCCAAACACCTGCTCCTATCTCCTGAACTTTCTTACCTATAGGGATGTCTGTCTGTCTGTCTTTTGTTTACTTTTACTGAGTATATTGAAAATAAAACCAATTTGACCTAAGTTAACATGTATAGATGTACTCATGATCTAGAATCTCACTGACATCACTTAATTGTCATACACGTCCCATCTGTACCTGCCTGAAATCTAATTTAAATTTTACAGTTAAGCATTTAGTGAATACCATTTGCCATACCTTGTACTAGATGTGGGAAAGCAGTGTGAATACTAATATAGATAACTCCTTGACTTAAAAAACAGGGTATTTTGATTTTTGAGACTTAATACTAGATTTTATTTGTTTCAACTCTTCTTGAGAGTATTTTTCATGCTTGGCTAAAAGCTCCAGAACTTACAAGCTAGCAAATAAAAACAACTGACTTTATTTTAAACTTGCAAAGCTTTATTACCACCTTGTCACTGTCTTTAGTGACATCTGACAAGATAATTATGATCAATGCATCAGCAAAAAGAAAACAAAGTTTTAATAGACTGCATCCCTAATCTAAATCAAATGTTACTTCTATTGACTTTGTTTTCATAAAAAAAAAAAAAAGGAGATTGAGGGAAGCTGTAAATTAAATCTATTACAACACTAGTAATTGGAAAATAAAAGGAAAAGGAGTTTGAAGTTACAAGAGCATCTTTAAAATGCTTGAGACTAGAAAACACATATTGTATTACTTGGTTTCTTTGCAATATCTTATTCTAGTCATTGGAAAGATAATGCAAATGGTATCAACATTTATTGAGAGATTACTATATGTCAGGTATTTTCTTTAGGGTTTTGTTTGTAATACTAAATAATAGAAAACCTTAGGTGTTGGTGCTATTTTTATGACCATTTTAGAAAGAATATATTATTAGGCTTAGAAGAAAAGGTTGAAGAAATTTACCAAAATTAGTAGATTGTAAATTGAAGGTTTTAATTTAGGCAATATGATTCTAAATTCAGATATTAGTCATATCAGTTCTTCCCTGCCATTTTTTACTAAAATGTATTTACTTTGATTCATATTTTCTCAGAGAGTCATGAAATCTTGTTTAGCTGAAATCTTTCTATTTTTTTATTTTAGGATATAAAGTGAAATCAGAAGATGAGAAAAACATATTATGTGGAAATCTCACTTCAATAACTTTCTCCTTTATTGGGTATCAAGTTAATCCTGACATGGTGTCTGATTTTCTAGGGAGTCAGGCAAAGAGGATTTTCCTTTCAAATCTAATGCCATTGACCTGCTTTGTTGCTTAGCTTTTTTTCCTCCCTAGCAACTAGGTAATCATGTGAAGAGAGCCCTACCAAAGATTAGTATTACATTCACAAGCTTGACCTTAGTTCCAAAAAAAGAGAAAAAGAGATGGCCTTTTTAAGTAAAGAAAGAAAAAAAAGTGGAGTGGCTCTGTAAGTTTGGAAGCTTTTCCACTAAATTCTATGAAGAAATTATACCAATGAAAAGAAAAAGAAAATATAGATCATAAATAAAGATCAATAAAGAAATTTGTAGCTTGGTGCTTTGAATCAGAGTGGGTTCTTGGAATTTTTAATACTTTGATAATGATAAACAAGAAAACCACAACATGAAAATTCCATATGATATTATGTATCTAAAAGTTAATTTATGTGTCTGGTAAAAATACTATATTAGTTTTTTTAAAACTCAATTATACAAATTTATACTAATATGCATTCTTTGGAAAAATTCTAGTTATAATGTAACAAATGAAAATGTCTTGATGAAATGTTGAAAAGGTCTGTTTTAGCAGAGATATGTCACTCAGTTTTTTTTTTTTTTTTAAATGTGGACTGGAGGATTGATGACCTACATATGCTATTTAAAGCCAAATTGCCTCAGGAAATAATTTAATATCTTGTATTAGGCCAACACTTCTGGAGAGAACAATAAAAAGCTCAATGAAACACAAAACCAACTATACAGACAATAACAAAATACGCCATTTGAACAGGGAAAAACAATACAGGCAGAAATGAAGAGACCGATGTCCAGGAGAGAAGGGAAGCACATTAAGGTGTGCCCACTTTCACCTCTGATATGTTCCCTTAAGGCATTTTCCAATTCACTATTCAGTAAGAGAAGCCAATCAAAAGATCTAGTTTAGGTTAAACAGGTATGGAGAGATGGAGTTTAGAATTCTGTGTGCTAAAGCAGCTGCATGCACTCTGAGTAGTGAAAACTTCCATAGGAAGAAATTTTAGGGTCTCAATTTAAGATTCTACTGCAATTTATTTGCCAAAGTGATTGCCAATTCAAGTTTTCTGCGGCAGGATAGACAAATAAGAAGGAGATGGCTAGATGCTCAGGTTCTGAGCAGAAATTCTTACCATCTACAGAATCTGAAAAGCTACTGATCAAAGTGCAGAGCCTAAAAAAGTGGAAAACAGTGGGGTTAGCCCTTTGGTGCAGTAGGTTAATCCTCCACTTGCGGTGAAGGCATCCCATATGGGTGCTGATTCTACTCCCAGCTGTTCCTCTTCCGACACAGCTGTCTGCTATAGCCTGGGAAAGCAATCAAAGATGGCCCAAGTCCTTGGGTCCCTGCACCCACATGGGAGACCAGGAAGAAGCTCCTGGATCCTGGCTTCCTATCAGTGCAGCTCTGGCCATTGCAGCCATTTGGGGAGTGAAACAGCAGATGGAAGACCTTTCTCTCTGTCCCTCCATCTCATTGTCTTTAACTTTACCTCTCAAATAAATAAATAAAATCTTTTTAAAAAAATAAATTAAATAAATTAAAAAAGTGGAAAACACCAAGAGAAGCCCCACTTTTTAGTTGAGATTCTTAACTATGCACCAGGAGTAAGGGTAAACCAGATAAAGACAGGTGAGGAACATCCTTCACAGAATCTTAAATTCAATTTTTATTGGATTGAGATAACCTGCTTATAGGGTAGTTTCACAAGAATATGAAATTATTTAGCATCTCAAAGTTATCATATAGAAAATTGAAAGTAAATACATATAAATATATGTTATTGCTGGTATATATAGAAAAAAAAGACTAATCAAAACTTCAGGGAATAAATAACAAAAAGAAATAAAACACTAGGAGATCCAGATATTAGAGTTATAAGACCAATGGGTGAAAATAACTGTTTGATATGTTTAAGAAGGCAGAGAAGATGGAAAATTAAACCATAAAAGTTGAATGTACAAAGTGAATCAAACTATACCATAAAACTGAAATATATAAAATTAGAATATATAAAATTAGAATTTAATACATAGGTTGGAAATTTGGTTAAATACAGATGAAAGAGAATTAGCAAACTGGAAGAGGTTGAAAAAAATATCCAGAGGGAATAGCAAGCACAAATTATAAAAAGATGGAAAACATTGAAGGGGAAAAGTGACATGAAAATGGAGGGAAGTGTTCTAACATGAATGTAAGATGGAATCCTAGAATGAAAACCAAAAGAAAATGCATCAGTTCTGTAGGACTATCAGCTTGGGTCTTCTAAATAGAATTGAAAACAGAATTTAAGCCCAATAGTTTACAACCATTACATTTTTAAGGCAATGTAAATTCAAAGAAATAAACATTTTAAATATCACATAGGAAAACTGCTATAAACAATAGGCAAAAAAATTAATGATAGCCAGAGTTTAAACAGCAATCTTTACAAAAGAGAAAAAATAACAGAAGTTGTCTTTTTAATAGAAATTATGGAAACCTAATAATAATACTTGAATTACTGAAAGAATTGAACTGCACACTATCTGCTACTCAAGGAAAATATTTTTACCAAAAAGAAGCAATATAAAGGGGTTTACAGTGAAAGAGACAGATAAAGAGACAAACATAGAGATAAAACATTTATAGTAAACCAGTTATAAAAACAATATTAGATGAATTTATCCGGCTAAAGAAAATTAATCCCAGCTGTAAGAAAGATAATAACAACAGGGAAGTATTAAGGCAACTATAAATGAAAATCTGTTTAACTAATTAACAATATTACTATTTGTGGGATAGTGAATACACGTAAAATTAAAATACTTGCCAAAAATATCATAAAAGTCAATTAGATGGTAAGTGGAGTTAAAATACTTCAGGACTCTAGCAATGATTGTGAAAGTGGTAAAAGTTTTTTTTCTGATTTATACATTCCTAAATAGTAAATATAATAAGTAACCTCCCTCACCAAAATGTTAAAAGTATATTAATAATAAAAACCATATATGACTAATTCCCATACTGAGTATTGCCAAATTTAGTAGTGTTCTCTGTATGCAAGTCCTCTTGTTCATCATTCCACATTCACTAAACCACGGTCAAATGCTATGGTCTAGTACCTGCTCTGTTAAGAGGCTTAAAAGCAAAGAGTAGTTGAGGTAGCAATGGGCAGTCTCCTTTCTGAGATTAAGACAATAGCACAGCCAATAGCATTCAGAAATAGAAGTCATCATCTAGGAGAATAGTAGTCTCATGATCAGAAGTCATGGTTATCCAAGCAGGACATAAAGAATCTTTTCCAGAGACAACAGTTGGAGAACTCTTAGGAATTCTAAGGGATATCTTTGAATAACTCAAAGAATTCTTCATCCTTTTATTTCTTCATTTAACAAGCATTTACTTGAAGCTTGAGATATGGCAGGTGCTGTTCTGTGCATATTGCAGTGAAGAAAGGCAGAATGTAAGGATCAAAAATAAAAGATCAATCAGGGCCTGTGTTGTGACCCATGGGATAGGCTACCATCTGCAAAGCTGACATCACATATGGGTGCTGGTTCAATTCTCAGCTGCTCTAACTCTCTGCTAATGCACCTGGGAAGGCAGCAGAGGATGGCCTAAGTCCTTGGGCTC